TTGCTTCAGCTCAGGAATTTGAGACCAGCCTGACCAAAAGCAAGACCCCTGTCTCTACTAAAATAGAAAAACTAGGGCTGGGCATGGTGGCTCACACCTGTAATCCTAGCCTCTGGGAGCCTAAGGTGGGTAGATTGCCTGAGCTCATGGGTTCAAGACCAGCAAGACACTCTGGGAGGCTGAGGTGGGTGGATTGCTTCAGCTTAGGAGTTTGAGACCAGCCTGAGCAAAAGCAAGACCCCGTCTCTACTAAAAATAGAAAAACTGGGTGGCATCTATGGCTCAGTGGATAAGGTGCAAGCACCATATACCAAGGGTGGCGGGGTTCAAACCCAGCCCTGGCCAGCCAAAACAACAATGAGAATTGCAACAAAAAATATTTGGGCATTGTAGCGGGCACCTGTAGTCCCAGCTACTCGGGAGGCTGAGGCAAGAGAATCACTTGAGCCCAAATTTGAGGTTGCTGTGAGCTGTGATACCACAGAACTCTACCCAGGGCAACAAAGTGAGACTCAGTCTCAAAAAAGAAAAAGAAAAACTGAGGTAAGAGGGTCACTTGAGCCCAAGATTTAGATGTTGCTGTAAGCTATGACGTCATGGCACTCTACCAGGGCAACAGCTTGAGACTCTCAAAAATAAAAAAAATAAATAAATAAAACTAGCCAGGCACTGTGGCCAGCACATGTAGTCCCAGCTGCTCAGGAGGCTGAAGCAGGAGGATCACTTGAACCCAGGACTTTGAGGTTGCTATGAGCTGTGACACTGTGACACTCTACCAGAGTGACAGAGTGAGATTCTGTCTCAATAAAAAAAAGAGACAGTTGGGGCGAGCAACCCCAAAGAGGCCCAGCATCCCCAGGGGCCAGTTGAAGGCATCTGTGTAGGGTGTGGGACAGATGGTCCTCTCACAGAGGCCCAGCCTGGTAGGGAGACTAGGGACACTGACGCCACAGCAGCAATGAGGTGCAGTGATGCAGCTTGTCACCAGGTGAGTAACTTTTCACGCAGCCCTAGGAGAGCCCTGGGCAGGAGGTGGGAGGTGCTGTGAGCCTGGGACAGGGGTTTCTCCCCCTCACATTCAGTTCCTTCTGCCTGTGGACCCCTCCAGTGTACCTCAGGCTGGGTTCCCTGCTCAGAGTGTCTGAACTCAGAGGCAGGCACAGCATCCCAGAGATGGGTCCTGAGGCAGTGGAGTGGGGGTTCCCCTGTCAGCAGAACAGAGCCCAGGCCTGCAGGGCCTCACCATATCCTGCTGCCAGATACCAAAGGTGAGTCCCTAGAACATGGCCCAGGACCCCCAAAATCCAGACTGGTTCCACCACCAAGAACATTAGCACTCCAGGCCCAAGGGACCACCTCAATAGCCTAGAAAGGGAGGGCCCAGAGGGCCAGAGCTGACCCAAGGTCCACAGCCCAGCAATAGAAGCTTGGCCACCTGGTTTTTGCCCCAAGTCCGCATGTAATAAGCCCACCAAGGAAGGCCAAGCCAGAAACAGCCACAGGCCTGGGACCAGGGGACCTTGGACGTTGCTCTGCACACTCCTATGGCCCTCATCTGCCAAGGGTAAGGGTCAGAGTTTCCCTGAGTCATGGTCCCCTCCCCCAGTCCCTGGCCAGCTATGGCACCTATGTGCCTTTGGTGCCCAGGATCCCTGTAGCCTTCACTTGAGGTCTGTCGCCTCTAAAACCTATGCTACGATGCTCCTTCGTGGCTGCCCCATCTGACAGAAGGGGTATGGATTCTGGCCAGGTATTGCTGCCTGCCTAGCTCACACAGCCAGTCCAGGCTTTTTTCTGTCACCCACTGGCCTCAGGTGGGCTCTAGAGAGAACCCACCAAACACACTCCCATGAAATACTCAATGGCCCTGGGGAGGGGGCTATGACTGAGCGCTTTTCCTGGGTATTGCTGCCCCTACAGACCAGGGTAGCTGGAAAGATGCACAGGGCAGGAACCAGGGACCAAAGCCCCATGACTTGTCCTTAAAGGCTGGACACCCAACAGGAACATCAGAGGATTTGGCCCCACCTCAGAGGCTGCATTCCAGGGCAGTCAGCTGGGAAGGGTCTGCAGTGGAGAGTCAGTAGTCTCCCTCCTGTCTAAGGTGATACCAGGAATGGCAGGGTCAGTAACAGCAGGAGGGCAGGAAGAATGTCTGAGTGGGCAGGGAATGGCCTAGACCCTGATGGGGAATCCCAACAAGAATGGGGTGTGGATAAAACCCAGCAGCAGCTATAGGTCCAGGGTGGAGAGACAGGAGGGGAGGCACCTTGTCAAAAGCCACATCAGGCTCAGCCCCTGTGGCTCATGTGGCTAAGGCACCAGCCACATACACCTAAGGTGGCGGGTTCGTATCCAGCCTGGACCCACCAAACAACAATGATGGCTGCAACCAAAAAATAACTGGGCCTTGTGGTGAGCGCCTATGGTCCCGGCTACTTGGGAGGCTGAGGCAGGAGACACGCTTGAGCCCAGGAGTTGGAGGTCGCTGTGAGCTGTGGTGCCACAACACTCTACCCAGGGGGACAGCTTGAGGCTCTGTCTCAAGAAAAAAAAAAAAAGCCATGAAAAGCCACATCAGGCTCAGTGCCCATAGCTCAGTGGTTAGGGTGCCGGCCATATACACCAAGACTGGCAGGTTCGAACACAGCCCGGCGCCGGCCAAACAACAATGATACCTACAACCAAGAAATAGCCAGGCGTTGTGGA